CAATAATGTTGAACTTAAAATGTTCCATTCCAATGCCAAACTTCTACTAACAAAGTGATTTAGTACGATTACCAAGAATTTGGTAATTGACTGGCAATTACTTAGCAACAACAACAACAAAATAACTCTCTCATTCCCTATTCCAAATTTTATCACTGATATAAAATGCTTGGAACAGAGGTGGAAATCACATGGCCCTTCAGATGTTTTTCAACTACAAGGTCCAGCAGCCCAGCCAGCACAACCAATGACAAGTAATGCTAGAAATTACAGCCCAAAAACATCTTGAGGGCCATATGATTGACATTTTTTGCTCTGGAGCAACCCAAAGTGGAATTTTGAGTGGAAGGGAAAACTGCCCTGAATAATAATATTAGTCCCAAATAGAGTAGACCCACTGAAACAATGGAACTTATATATATTTATATGCTGATGTACAAAGTTCCCATTGATTCAATAGGTCAACTTCAGCTGGAATTAACAACAGGATTTTAGGTCATTGTGAGTTCTATTCAGTTCTGGAACTTTCATCCAATGGTTCTCAGTTTTGGTCCTCTAAACATCTTGGACATCAATATCCAGAATCACTGTCCCTTCTCCAAGCTTCTGTGAACTGACATCCAAAACATCTGGAGAAACACAGTTTAAGAACTGCTGCTTTACTCAAAATAAACTGCCAGGCTCTTGAGTCTGTGTGTGTCTTTTACACCAGGTTTTGGTTGGTGAGTCTCAAGATTCTTGTTAAAATGAAAATACATTCCGGAAGCCTGAAATCTGGGTTTGGATATTGTTTGCCATGGCAGCTATATCAGAAACCAAAGTTGGTGGGATCTTTAAGAGACAGGTAATGAACTCCAGGAAACATAGCTTAGTATGAAATTCATGGGGTTACCGTAAGTCAGCAGGCAACTTGAAGGCACATACACACACACACACACACACCAGAGCACATATATCGTTCAGCAAGATTTTAAGACCTAGCATTTCTATTTTGAAAGCTCTCAAATGACAAGACTAGGAAATATCCTGGGAAAAGCTGCAGATGAAATTGGTGAAATGAGGAGAGTTCTACGGCTACCAAGAACAGCCAAAACAAAACAAATAAGTACAGTACTCATGTATAAGTGTAG